TATTAATATAATTAATATTAATGTTAATAATTAATTATCTTAAATTATTACCACTTATCGCTACGTATATATAACGATAATAGCTCGCACATCCTACTCAATTATCAAAAAACGACTTGAAATTAAAAGTCTTTTAATTTATACTGAATCTGGACTCAGCACTAATAAATTTTACCGCCTTGTACTCTTTTGCATCACTTTTCTACTTTTTTCATTTCCTGCTTCCCTTGTAACATTTTTCAGTAATGTTGCTATTGCTGATGGCAAAGTCGAATTTAATTTGTTTAATAAAAATTTTGATAGAGTTACAAGATTTAATCGTGGTATATCCTTTTTCGATTATGCGAAACCATTGACCGGATTTTTTGTATTTATTTTTTTTGGTATCGGCCAAGACGCTACGAATACTTATAAAAAGTGGGGAAGAATGATTCATTTGGATTCATTTATTTCATGCTTTAGAGAGAGACCTAATGAATATAGTCCTACTGGAACATTAAGACCTTTGTAAGTGTTTGGTATATTATATAATAATTTAGAATTTATAAGTTAGTTTATAAATTAGTTTATAAATTAATTATAAATTAATTAATTAGTATATATATGTATTTATTATAATTTCCTATTTTCATTACAGCCAAAACAGTTCATCTTACGCTCCTAAATCATTTAATTCTCGAAAACATTCTATTGGCGATATAAAACTCTCGATTCCAGGTGAAACTTTTTCGGGACAAGTGAAATCTCATAACTTGTTATTTCTCGATGGTCATCGTACACCAACAGAACAGGCTCAATTTGATTTGACTAGTGGCATTCATTTTAGCCTTGACGACATTTTATTAGGTTCACCCATTGATGGTTTTGATTTTAGTTCAAAAAAACATTATTCTTATAGTCCAAAAAAACATTATTCTTATAGTTCAAAAAAGCATAATTCTTATAGTTCAAAAAAGCATAATTCTTATAGTTCAAAAAAGCATAATTCTATTTATCAATCCAATACGCATACAAAAGTTGGTTATGAAAC